CTCTAGCCAACTGCGTAAACACCCACCATTTAAAAAAATAAAAAACAGAAAGCGGGAGAGAGACAGAGTGGGATTATGGCGTCTACTGGGTCAGATCGATAGTTAGGCAAATTAAAACTAAAGAAAAACTTATGCAACTTAAGCTTCGAAATGACAGACAACGAACAAAAAAGGTAATTTCCAAGAGCTGGGTCACAGCGCATATCAAAAGCTCCTGTATTGGTTCTGTTTTCAGAACTGGAGAATAAAAGATACATTCTTAGATGTTTTTGTTAGTACGTGAACGTTATCTTACACATTTTATCTCCCCAACAGATTAATTTGAAATAAGTTTATAATGCATGTTGGCTATTCCCAATTCAGAAGAGCGCACACACAGCCTGTGTCTGTGAATGCTTCTCATACTCGCTCCTCTCTGCCCCACGCGGCACGAATCCCGCGGCACGGACGGCTCGTTTATGTAACATATGTAATACTTTAATAATTGACTTAAGAAATAGTTAATTTATAAAAAAATATATATATTTTCTGTGAAATTCAGTAATTAAGTTAATTCTGTAAAAGTAGTTATACTATTATAATCTTGCCTGCTGAAAAAAAAAACAATAGAACCCCTGCCAAAACACAATAAAATTTTTTTATGGATTTCAGGGTTATAATGGGAATTTGTTTGGTTTTAATGTAAACTATAATGGTGTCTATTTGATGGATTCTATTGGTGGGATGTAATCTGGCAGATGGCAACCAATAGAACAACAGTAATTCCAATTGGAATAATGCCCAAAACAAAAAGGAATTTTGTAATGGTTTAATGGAAACTATAAGAATTTCTGTGATGGTTTCTATTGTTTTTTTCAGCAGGGTAATGATACCCATACTGTGCTGCACATTATTGACAATATTGAGCTGAAGCTTGACTTTGCAAATTTAAAATCGCAAATTAAATCGCAATCGCAATATCTGTCAAAAAATCGCAATTTGATATTTCCCCCCAAATCGCACAGCCCTAATGGAAAGCTTATTTATTCATGTATTCATGTATACAATTTCAAAAAATTGACCCATATACAGTATGTGCGATTAATCGCATCCAAAATAAAAGTTTTTGTGTACATAATATACGTGTGTGTACTGTTTATGTTTATTATGTATATATAAATACACACATGCATGTATTTAAGAAAAATAAGTTATGTTTATATATTAAGTGTATTTATATATAATATAAATTACATGAAGATCAATATAAACATGTACTGTAAATACATGTAAATATTTTCTAAATATATACTGTATGTGTGTGTCTTTATATACATAATAAATATATGCAGTACGCACACATATATTACATAAACAAAACTTTATACACACATGTATTATATAAACTGTATTTTGGATGTGATTAATCACGATGGGTTGCTGGGCAACATTGTTTAACAATGACTGAAAATACAAAATAATGTATGTAAAAAAATTATGTACAAAATACAAATTGACCATTTTCCTATGTACCACTACAATTATCTCAGTGTGATGGTCTTTTCAAGGGCCTGTTACTCTATAGCAGCTTGGGTCTTTGAAGAGCATGACAGTAGATACCAAAGAAAGGCCAGCGGGTGCCACCATAGAGGTCCGAACAACTCTGTAAATTGACTGTGAGCACACAACTGATCGGTGTGAGTTCTGGGTCAATGGCTCGCTCTTAGCTTGCTTACTTTGAGCCCGATCCGACCCGCGCACGAGCAGACAATATGAATGAACGTCTTCAGAGCCCTGATTATCCTTCGATCCACCTCTCCGCTTGGACTTCACTGACCAGTGAGAACAGGCCTGGGGCCATTGTTCTCGGGAGCCAGAGCTAATTTGCCATGTAATGAAATATTGAGGGATGTACAATGAGCAAGGAACTGTTAGTTGGGGATAGCCACTTTTAGAAATGTCTGCTGCTTGGTGTGAATGGGAAGGGAGAAAGGCCTCTCTGGTTAACAGACCCCCAGACACACTTTGAATTCAAAGCAGCTCACTCAAAGCATAAAATGTATCCCCTGAACTGTGAAATGCTAAATCAATTTGAAGCAATTTTATACGTATTGCACTAGCAAGCATTGCATCCATTTTATTCTCTAAATAATTAGCAACAAAACATTTTTAAAAGCCTCACACCGAGCCTTATCCCATTTCACAAGTAACTTTTCGTCTGTTGCTTGCCAATTATTCTCTATAAATTTCAAAACAGGATTTGTTTAATTAGTCTTTAATGACAATAATGAAAATGGGAATTTGCGTTTAATTTACTGTTGCCATATTAGAGCTCGGTTTCAGTACAAGTAAAAAAACCCTGAATTACCTGGATTTGTTCGAATGGCACTTCGAAACTGAAAGACTCATTGTAGTAAGGGTTAAGGGTGTTCTTTTTGATTGTCGTCTTCTTCTTCTTCAGCCGCTTGCCATTCTGCATCAGGTGAATCTTGACGTAGGGATCTAAAAACACACATATACAGGACATAGCATGAGAAAATACTCCAGTTTTTATGACATATTAGAGCAGGTGACTGGGACCCAATAGGGGCCTCAGCACACTTCCAAGGGGGCCACAAGATTGCTTAAACTGATTTAAAATAAGACAAAAAAACTACAATAGGCTAAAACAGCTCAAATATGTAACACAATTTTCTTATTTTGATTTATTCCTTCAACAACTGCAATTTTTATTCAAGAATGAGGGTTCCCACAGTCTTGAAAAACCTGGACATACCAGGGAATTTTAAGTGTAATTTCTAAATCAGGAAAACCCATTAAATCTTAAAGGCACAATATGAAAGATTTTTTGATTAAAATATCCAAAAACCACTAGAACAGTTTTATATATTTAGCTGACTTGTGTACTTACATTATCCCAAATGTTTAGAAGAATGTTTAAATCCAGAGAAATAAGCAATTTTAACTAGTGACACGGAGCGTGTCCATAGTGTCATTGTGTCGCCTGCCAATGACGTCATACCCCCTCGATTTCCGGAAACACCAAAGACGCTTTAATATGTTGTGCGTTTTAATAGACCGGTGACGACCGCACAGAGTAGCATTATAACAGAACGTTCAAACGTATCTAGTATGATAAAACAGTGCTTACTTCCGCTGCTTTCCGGAAGCGGAAGCGGTCGACTGTGGCATAATAAAAGCTCAGCTGCTTTCGAGCCGTATGTCACGCTTGTTCAGCGGCCTCGTTTTGCTTCGACGGCTTTCAGCCTCACCCTGCTTCATACTACGACGTTAATAAATCTTTAATACATTAGCTCACCCATGAACATGATTTCTGCCCGAGTCCCGTTGGATTGCATCGGCTGTGGGGATGAAGATGACAACTCCCACGATTCCACACTCAGTCACGGCGTCATCAAACTACGCCTTTGTCTCTTTGTTTGTTTTGAATACGCGCCCTCTAGTGGCAAAAAAATACATATTGTGCCTTTAAAGGTGGGGTAAGCGATTTTTCAAAAACGCTTTAGAAAACTGATTCGGGCCGACTAGCAAAACAAACTTGTAGCCAATCAGCAGTAAGGGGCGTGTCTACTCATGAGAGAGCGTTCAGTGCACAGGATGGACATTAGCCGAGCCGAGCGACAGAAAGATAGAGATGGCGGATAAAAAACAAACGAGGAAAACAACTGCGAAACAAAAGAAGGCTTAAGGCAATAAGGCAAGAAGTAGGACCCGTGTAAATATCGGATCAGCTTTCCAGTGCTGGAGAGAACTCAAGGAGCGGAAGGCCTGCGATCGGACGCCGAGGTTGCTTTGTTTCTTCTCGATAGGTGAGTAACACTGTGTCTGCGCCGCAACAGCTAAAGTCTGTCTAGTACACTGGACGCGACAAAGCGACCGTTGAATATCATTAGAAATTTGTGTCAAGACGTCATGAATAGAACCCAGCAGCAGTTTTCTGTCGGGGATTTGTCGTGTCATGCCACGCCACATCCAGTGTAGACCATAGATATGTACTGTTTATATAACTATATGGTGTAGACAGCATCACTGATTATAATGAGTTCCAAAGTATTTTGTCGTGCCGCGCCACTCGCGTCCGGTGTAGACACGGTGTAACATTGGTTTTGCTTTGTTTCACAGAACTAATCGTTGCCTGGGTTGCATACGTATGTGTGGGGTGGAGCTATCAAAATAAGGGCGAGACCCTTTTGGGGTAGTGGTGTGTTTGTTTAGGTGATTTCAAATGTCAACATTGGCTACCAGAAATCGCTTACCCCACCTTTAAGTCATGTAAATTTGCATTCAAATGAAAAATAATCAATACTGAATAAATTAGTCTCTAAAATAATTTTTTTCTGTTCTAAAATATTTTAGCAGATAGAAACAGCAGGTAAATTTCTATTTTTGTCTACAAACATTTTATTTTATTTTATATTTAATTTTATTTTATCACAAACTGTCAAAAAGTTATGTTAATTTATTCACCATAAAGAGTGTGAACCCTGAAGAACATTACATTTTTTAATGTCTGAAATTACAGACTTTAACTAATTTATTTTAACCCATTAACTGTCACCCGTCCCCTCTGTGGGACGCCTAAGTTTACGTCACTATAGTACAATTAAATCCTAATCTAATCATGACAAACTATGTATCGTTGGAAAGGTCTAAGACTCCTAAATAGATATTTTACCAATGTTTTTGTTAAAAATTATGTAGGAAAAGTAATAGATTAATTTATGACAAGAGTGCACCTCAAAAATCTATATCGTAACAGGAGTTCTGACCTTTGTCAAAAAAAAGTCTAAATCACACTTTAGAAATCATCAGAAATCATCATATATCAATTGAAAACTTTAAATCTCAAAATTCATCCTTTGAAACCCATTTTAAAATCAAACATTGCATTACCATGAAAATGGTACATCAATATCATGTTACAAAATGTTTTCGTTTTTTGTTTTCTGGTGAATTATAAAAATGTAAGTTTGGATCGTGCACTTTCATGTCTATGTTCAAAAATGTGAGTGACAGTTAAGGGGTTAATTATTTATAATTACTTTATTTAATTATTTTAATGTACTACCACTCCTAGTTTCAGTGAATACAAAATGTTGAAATTAGCAATTTTGTATTTACAAAAACAACAACAACAAAAAATATCACAATCTTCTATTATTAATTATATTCTTACATTTATCCAAATATCACAAAATAACACTGCATGCAGCACCTGCAGCTCCTGCTGAGGCTCCAATACAAATCTCTTGTGGTATGTGTTAGGATAGTACAAGCTTTTATTTACACATGACAGCTGTGTGCCCTCCAGTATTCCCCTGTTACATTACTGCCATTCAGGCACATCAATCTCTGCCAGGGCCTCAAAATACTATCCATCTTATCTATCATTTTCCAGCATCTATATTCTGTTTCCATCATGCATCTCGCATCTGTTTCTCCACTACTGATTCAGACTCACCTCTCTTAGAATCACCTTTTGATGGAAACTACAGAATACAAATAAAGGATAAAATATCAAAACAATATCTGATTCTACATCTATACATCTTCCTTTTGAAAAAGGGAGTTAAGGTATGTTTTGTATGTTATACTGAGACTTAAAGAGGGGAGATGTCATATGCCTTTCTGAGCCTTACACAGGGCTTAATTTGTGCTGGAACAAGCACAAATTGCACAAAGTGCTACCTCCGAATTTATCCGAAATCTGCTCCGGCACCTCATTTGACAGATCCCCTCCTCACGTGCCAATGAAAGACGTTTGTGTTGACCTATAGCGTGCATATATTTCATGAAAAAAAATTCTATTATAAGCAGGCTTGCCTAGCATCTACATTCGAAACAACAAACTTGAGCGCGCAAAGAGATGCGACGTGGCTGCTCTCACAAACCCGAATACATGGATTCAATACTGATACACATGCGTTTTCTTTCTCAGATGTTTACATTTAGTTAAGAAAAAACCGACTGTGTTTACGTGGATAGTCGCCAGGACGGCCATTTTGACGTCATTTTTTGTGTGTATTTGGCCGCGTAAAAAAACAACAACAGTATTTTTTTATGTTTTTTAAAGGATTCTCTTCTGCTCACCAAGCCTGCATTTATTTGATCCAAAATACAGCAATAATAGTAATATTGTGAAATATTTTTACTATTTAAAATAACTGCTTTCTATTTGAATATATTTTAAAATGAAATAAATTCTGAAATGAAAGCTAAATTTTCAGCATCATTACTCTAGTCTTCAGTGTCTCATGATCCTTCAGAAATTTACTCATCTAACCAACATGCTCTATTGAATATGTTTGCAGGAATTTCCCTCATTATAAACTAAAAAGCAGATTAAACATAATTCTATTATACAGAGATTTAAGGAAAAAAATCCATGACTTTTCCAAAACTTTTTCCAGGCCTGGAAATGGCTGTTTTAAAATTTCATGACTTTTCAATTTCTTTCATGACTGTAAGAAGATGCACGCTGTTAATTACGTAAGCTGGTCCTCCACTGCGCGAATGCTCCGTTACCTCTCCCTCCTCTAATCATGCCGGATCCGTCACCCCACTTTGTTCCGGGACATCGCAATTTACAAATTAAGTACTGGCCTTACAATACAAAATGGATATAGCAGCGGTTAGAGAAATGGTTGAATTTGACAGATGTAACCATGTTTCAGAATTACCTTTTGTCCAATATGTCATTTCATTTAACTTTTTCTCTCCCTGATATGTCTCTTTCTGTCACCATCACCCTTCTCTGCTCTGCCCCAAAAGAGATTTCAAAAAATCTCTGGTATTTTCAATTCCCTCTTCATTTTGCAACTAATCTAAATAGTTTTTATCTCTCTAAAAAAAGCCAGAGTAGCACATTCCAAACAGAGCGAGAGAAAGAGAGAGAGACCTAGAAGGCATGCTGAACTCTTCACCCATACCATATTAGGAGTAGGGCAGTACAAAATCTGAGGCATGCAGTTTTTGAAAGTGTAGATCTCACTGATCATAAGCTGAGGGTGTGTAAGACCATGGAATTGTGCTATAATAACACCTACAAATACAACTTGTACACTAAAAACTTTAAACGAGACAGTAGATGTTTGTGAAAGATGTTTTCTCTGAACATTGGATGAACATTGTTAAAGGGGTCCTATTATGCTCTTTTACAAAGTCTTGATTTTGTTTTGGGGGTGTACTAGAACATGCTCTCATGCTTGGTGGTTTGAAAAACGCATTATTTTTCACATAATTTACATTATTAAAATACCTTTCTCCCCATCCTGACTCAAACGGCTCAATTAGTTCCGGCTTTGATGAAGGTCCACCTTCCGAAAAACAAAATGTGATTGGTTAGCTGTCCCAGTGCGTTGTGATTGGCGAACAGCTTAGACGGTGTTTCAGTACTGCCACGCCCCTTGCTCCGTCTTTCAACAAAAGCTTTTGGCGAATCTGGCACTACTCACTCGTGTTGTGGAAGCTGTCCTCAGTAA